CGTACATCTTGATTCCATGGCGATTACTTGCTGTTTCAATTCCAGGTTCAGGTTCATTTTTTACTTTTCATCAGTGCAACTTCGGTTTCTACTACAGCTTCACTCCGTTCCGAAATCATAAGTCCGTTTCGGTTCCTTTTTTTACTCAGTTCCCGGCCAGAGTTTTTTTGCAGATTCACTGGTTCTTGAATTTCGTCTTCGTTTATATCCACCAATGGCAAACTCGTAACTCATGGTTGTCGATATCTGCTGGTGACGTCATCGGAACTTCAATTCTCTAGCTTGAATCCAAAATGTCTACTTCCGGCTTAAATGTCCTTAACCTTGTGTAATTCCATAATTTGTTTTAGTCCAACCTTAGTCTTAATGCTATTTGTTATAAGATTGTTAATTTTCTTCTCAAGGTTAAGTCTGATTTTATGGAAAGCTGCTACCTTGCTTTTCATGTCATTGAACTTGTCAATCAAGTTTGTCTTCGGAGGTTCGTCATGCACAATATGGTCCTTGATCCTTCTAGTGCAGGGATTGTAGAACCGCTTCACATGCTCCCCTATCTTCCTAATTTCATTAAATATCTTCACAGATATATATACGCATTTAGCGTGATGCCACAAAACGCAATAACCATCACAAAGAAGAGTTTTTTCATCGTCCAAACACAATTTTAGACACACCGGACACTTGGTCACAACTTCACCTTTCGCCATTACCACAGCCTTCCTTTACACACATTTTTGTACGAAGTGTATGATGCAATTTAAGTAATAAATTCCATCGTGCTTAGAACCATCAAGCATTTAAGCATTGAAACTATCCTAAAAGTTTTAAAGAGGAATAGAAACCCCCTAATGTTGCCATATAGGACACTTTCTTTGAAGACCAGTATGACTGGAAGTGCAACATTTTAAGTGTACAAGCCCGATTGGTTTGCCTACAAAAGAATGGGCTCCTCCTTGTGTACAGTATACATACAGAGGGGTACCAAAGCAACTGAAATCGAGGTGAAGAAGTGTCTCACCTCGCGCCGTGAGAACAGTCAGATTCGCAAATCCGTTCACTAGTCAAGGAGATTGACGGTTTTGCCCTACCTTGGGTCGTGTAAACGAGGCTTTAGGATTCAGAACAACGCCATGTAGGTTGACATCAAACTATGCATGAAACAGTCACTGCATAGCTGTAGTAGACTCACAGGTTTTCACAAAACTGTCATAGACAGACAATCGACATTGTAAGTCCCACTGATCAGAACCATACACCTTTGGGGGGGCCTCCCGCTCCTGTGTATCACCCTGTAATATCTTACTGTTGAATTTTGGGTTACAATTGGACATTTTTAGGTTGAACAGAAAACTTAAGGAATATGAAACTACAGTAGAACCCCTGATATCCAGCCTCGGTTTATCCGGTCCCTTCCAGGAAGCCAATATCAAAATGCTTTTCTCACGTTTTACAGACGTTTCGTTGCAAGCACCAGATTTTGCGACTTAAATGTTCTCACCGTTCATCAGTTTGTTTGCATTTTATAACATGGAACTACTCAGTTGAGCTAGAAGGTCTGACCTCTTACCAGTTAGTTGATTATTTCCAGAGTGACTGTTCCTATAAGGTACTGCTCCAAAATAATGTGGCTAATCAGGCACTGCTCCAATAGGCAATATTCCAGAAAGCACTGTTCTAAAACGACTGTTCCTCCAAGGTACTAATCCAAAAGCTTTGCAAGGCATTACTACTAAAAGCAGTATTCCAAAAAGAATATTCCTCTAAAGAACTGGTCCAAAAGATTGTGGCTAGTCAAAATTGTCAGGAACTGCTCCAAAAGGTGTTGCTCCAAAAAGAATGTGACTGGTCAAATACTGTTCTGAAAGGCACTGCCCTGAAAATAAATACTCCACTAAAGAACGGCTCCAAAAGAATGTGCACGGTCAGGCAATGCTTCAAAAATGTCATTCAATGTCGAAAATGGGTTATTCGAGTGAAGTAGTACCTTCCTCAAGCAATCTTCATGTACATCACCTTCCTTGGTAGAGTAGACACATTATTGAGAAATACATAATACGCACAAGCAAGAAGTACATCTTCTTTACTTTTTATTGCTAGGAGCAGTGACAGTCTGACCTAGAGGTCTACTCCTGGTATAGACACAAAGCTATGGAAAACTTGTGACAGGAAATATCTGCAAATAGTTTGGTTTACAGACTTGCTTGATGCCGTTGTGGGTGGATGATCTTGAAACTTTTAAATCAGTATGCAAACAAATATCCTATTGTTGTCCAACAGGTGGCATGCTTTGGCAATCCGGCAGCCATGAATGATATTTCAAAAAAGCACCTATGAATCCTCCCATTAGATTCTGGAGGATGACTACTAATGTCTCTCCATGATTGCAACAAATGCTCACTGATGTTGAATAATCTCGTTTCCATTGTCTAGACAAGTTTTAGACACATCACTAATGTTAGCGAATAAACAATGAAAGTAACTTGGTGCCCTTAAACGGATTTACCATCCCTTTGCTCGATGCCGCGACACGTAGGTAGCTGTGATCGTCACACCATGCTGCCAAAAGGCCTCTACCCTGTTGTTTCCGGATTACCGGTACCTAGTCAAATGTCAAAGTCGGCTATCGGTTTTGGAACATTTCCCAACCGTTGTTCCCGATGACTGCCTTCAGGTTTTGACACATCATAATAGGCAGGAAAAATAACCGGCTTACTACTTTACTGCGCATGAAAGCTATGCAATATAATAGGATCTAAAAAACAAAATGTTAAAGATGGCAATACTTCTCTTCTCTGCTCCATATTTCTCGAGTGGTTGGAGGGACGACAGGCTGTTTTCCCAGGCATTCAGAGCGCATACATACTGTATATCGATGCGTGGACTACGGGGTTTGAGACCGCGACGAGACATCGCGTGGACTTCACAGCCGTTAATTAACACTCCACGCGAGCAAACAGCGCTTAAACTCTTAATTAGTATTGAAAATCGGCCGGCGCGCGGCGGGGTCAAAAACACCATACAGCGCGGGCCAATTACGACGCTCTGCATGTATCTGAGACGAGCTCGTTCACCGCGTAGTCAACGTCCTTCAACAATCAACAGCGAACAGCGTTGGACATAGAATAGTTCAATTCAATAAGCAATTCGATATTTGGTTGTTATAATTGTGATTTGTTTAACTTCCTTGTGAGAAAATGAGCAAAGAAGTCGTTGTTTGACGGTCGCCAACGCACGATTCGTTTGGAGTGAAACGTTTCGTATTTACACATTTTCTAGGCTTCAAACTGGACTAATTTGTCACTAATTGGGATAATAGTTTATTTTATGGTATGGAAAAGCAAATGGAAAGAGTCCCTCCCCCCCACTTACTGCCTTGGGGTAGTCGTTACATAAATTCGGTACCCTTTGTCGTCGAAGGACTCCTATGACACTGGAGGATCTTGCTGCGATTGCATATAATTCAAACACGCAACTCCTCACATTCATCAGTTAATTCCCTTGTGATGTGTTTAACCCGTCAAAATATACGTAGATAGGGAAAAGACAAATAGGCTTTGCAGGTGCGAATTCAATTTAGTTTATACGTAAGATTTTTAAATCCCCCGATTTTACTGGAGATGTGATGTTTGTAAAATTGGTCAAATCAAATCCCTACAAAACTTGACGTCTTCAAACTGTTAATACACAGATTAGCAATACTAATTGTGTTTTCTTTATACGATGCGTGTCCAGGTTGAGTTGCAACGTCCAGATCGCAGGACGGCGATGCTATCTCGCCCGTAGGTCGTAACTCCTCGCCGCCAAAGGGCGCCGCCGCCGCGGGTGACCGAGCGCTTCCCAAAACAGCCGCCGGAATGCGGCTGGGGCCCGCGCGGGGTTCAAAATCAACATCTCGCGAGCCGTTCCTCCGTCCGCCGCGTTGGTGTTCTTGTTCAGTTTCTACCATCAGTTTGACTTTGTCATTGGATACAGTGAAATAACATTAATTGGCTGTTCATTAACGCTGCAAGTTTTAGATTGAAAAATACGAAGTTGGAATGAGCCACCGAAAAATACCTAGTTGTTTTGTTATTTCTGTCTTACCGTGAAGTTCTGTCAGTTGTAGCGAATTTAAGAACGTAGTTGAAAAAGATCGAGAAATTGTGCTGATTTTGACGTAAGATTTTGTGGCCCACAACTTCTCTTACACTCATTTTTATTCAGTTTCGTCATAAATATTTCGTTATATTCTTGTTTTCCAACACATAGTAACTCACTGGTATTATAGCGACTGAGCATATGCACCGAATTCCAGCACCTGTAGGCTTACTGTTTTATATTAAATATCGCTTTCTGTGTTTAACCTATAATTCTTTGACATTATTTCTAAGTGTATATATACATTTTTTTGCAATAGTAAGTAAGATTTTTGTTTAACTGGAAGTGTGAGCAATAGCTCGGTAGTTCATTTTCATTGTACCTCTGTATCGAGTAATCTTCAATGTAATCTTTGCTAGTAACAACGGATGTTTTTCCATTTGGACTGTATTTGGTAATTTGCTAGTATACTGTCGATGGCTTGTTATAAACACATGTTACAAGTCTTTTCTTTACTTTTCCCTTGTTATTTTGTTCAACCAACATAGTTACTTGGCAACCCATAAGGCCAATGTAAAAAATTGATTTTCATTTTTTACGTTAATTAGATTTTTGTTGGCAGTTTGAACTGCATTAAACATGTTTTTAGGCCAGAAATAAATTATCTACAACATTTGAAGGAAATCTTCGAAGCCGTTTTCTTTGTGCAACAAGCATACATACATACTGCACAAGCAAACACTGCTTATAAGTCAAACTGACATCCAATAAAAATACAATTCGTCTAATTTAATTTATTACCAACGTTGTTCACAGTTGTTTTACTCATCTGGGGTTTCAGAAGAATGAAGATTAATGTTGAATTTAATTACTTTGTTATTTCATTTTCTTCCAGTTTACTAAACCAGTGTATAATATTGCAGTGGCAATGGCAAAGTGGCTACATGGGGAGCTATTGTCGGATTTCTGGTGATGATGAGTCTAGATGTAGCACTGGGGTAGACCTACACATCTACACATCTACAACCTGGACTGTGAACATTCTCCTTTAGGTATCAGTACCTAGCAATTCGCCTTCCGTGTACAGTTGTGTATTCAAGCATTTTAGACCTCTGTCGATTTCGTATATTAACTAATGTTCATTTTTTGTTTTATTTGCTTTTTTTAGTCAAGGTATAAAATGATCTACAATGTTTTAAAATTGTATTTGAGTTATGTTTTCATGAGTTGTAAATTGACCTATTGTATTGTTGTATGGTAATTATTGTTTATGATTTGATTTAGTTAACCTTAATCTTTTTCAGTTTGTATCAAGTGCTAATCCATTTAGGAAATTAGTCAATTATAAAACAGATTTTACACATTTGCATATAAAAAACATTATTTATTTTTATTTCTGTTTATTTTAAAATTATTATCAGTTAATGTAGTCTATTTATTTTTAAATTGTTAGTTCAGGTGGTAAAATAAATTACAGCTCAGATTATTAACTACAATCTGCTGAGATAAGTTTAGACACTTAAACATCATTTTGATAATTCATTATTAAGTTATCAATGTAGTAATTTTTCCAAATTTTCCACAAAGCTATAACAGTCATTATATAGTCCTTAAATAAAAGTCAATTATATAATAATTAAAATTAATGTGTTATACCAGTTTTATCATTTTTAGGTCTGTGTACATTGATGATAGTTATTCATAGTGCTTCAGATTATCATTTTTTGCTTGAAATTAAATTGATTTTGTTTTGTCCAAAGATGTATAAGAAATTTTAGATTAATTGTTATTTCAATAAGTTCAATTTGAATAATAGTGAATTTTGTTAAAGTTCCTAGTAGGTACAGGCAGATGTATCCTCTATTTATTTTAACTAATTTATTGTGTTTTATCTTAGACACATAAAATGTCCTTTTATGATATTTCTTTTTCTTTTGTGTTTTATCACATTTACTAGTCCTCATAATATTGATGTATACCAAACTACTTAATAGAGTTTATTTTATCATAATTGTTAGTTGTAGTGTAACTTCTTAATTGTATAAGGCTGAAAAGTCCTTAATAAAGGACTTAACCCATGGGGTTTTTTGTATTTCTTGTTATGTGTATCGACCGGTATGTATTTCCATAGAAATATTTTAACATAGGAAATACATTTTTATCCATTTTTGGAACAGGTCTTTTCAGAATGAGACAGAAACCATTGGCTAAAATCTTTTAGGCAATAAAGCATAATAGACAGTGTTTAATAGTTTTCCCTGGTTTTGGTAAAGTGTTAAACTTACTTTTATGGTTATTCCTCCTCAATTCTGTGATTTCAGTTTATTTTGTGATATTTTCTGGTAGTTTTTAATCTATTAGAATGAATGGAACATAACCAACAGGTAATTAACACAAAATGCTGCATTTTTCCTTAAACTCTGCAATCCATACATTATTAGCATTAATCAAGAAGAATATCTTAACAGCGGAAATAACATACTCTATCAATGTGCTTGTTTCAGTCAATTATTACTTGTTTCGACCAAAGGCCTTAATGTAGTTATAGATCAAATAGAGGTGCCCCGTAAGTAAACAGCCAAACTCCGGGAAATGTTTCCTTCGGTTAAAATAAAAATAACATCCAGAATTAAAAGTTTTTTTTCCAAAATCGCTTCGTTAACCAGATATCCACTATTTTCTATTTTTAACATAAACATTTTTATCATTGAATTGTGTCAACCCAACCGGTCTCAATGAATCTTGGTTTCTATGTTAAGGTAGAAGAGATCCATCTTAGAAAAAAAGTAACTTTCATCCAATTCAAAATGGCGGCCATTTACATTGTTTTTCATCCAAATTACTAAAAAAAACAGCAGATTTTATTAAAAAATGTCAAGAACACTAGTTTATTCAGCATTTAAAATTACCTAAAATTTAAAATAAAAATGGCATTTAAAATAGAAAATTGTGGATATCTGCTTAACGAAGCGATTTTGGAAAAAAATGTATTCTTGATTTTCTCTTTCTTTCCACCCATGGATCCATTTCCCGGAGTTTGGCTTTTTACTTATGGGACACCCTGTATATTAGTAAATCGTAAGTTTGGTTATTTTAAGTGCTTGTAGTTAATTGTTATTTTTTCATCTGTAAACTGGGCACATAAAAATAAATGATTTGGGGAATCATAAATATTTTAAATGTATATACTGTATTCGTGTACATATTTTAGTGTTTTCATATGTTATGAAATATTGATTTTATACATCATAAGTTTTTTGACATCATAAATTTTATGATTTAAAAATCACAGTTTTTATATATGAAACAAATGGATAGAAATTCATTAAGGGATAAAACTGGACCCAGCTGTTCCTGATCATTGGGCTTTAAATAAATGATCCTGACTAATGAAACAGCTGATCTTAGTCAGTAACAAAGCTACACAGGTCATCACACACCATTCTACACTCATCCTTCACTCATATTTGGGTTAAAATACGCACCTAGGTGGCGTCCCCATCTCAATGATTGATAATTGATAATAATAATAATTTTGTAAATAATTAAGATCAGGTTGGCTGTATTATCAGGGAGTTCTGTAGATGTGCAAAAACAAGTATTTTGAACTATGATAATGGCTTACATAATTTCTATACTATCTGTAAGCTAATTTAAAAAAAGTATATTGTTTGTACTATAATTTAGAATTTACATTAATACTGTAATTCCTGTTTATTTTTAATACTGTATTTTAATCCTTTTTAATGTTTATTTAACTTAATCCGTACATAAATTATGTATTTTATTTTACAATTATCAACCATGCTCTTGAATATGATTTTTATTTTATTGTTATGGCCAGTATTGTTCAGTTATATTTAGATGTAATGCCTTGGGGAACCCTATGTTGGGAAGTCACCTTTACAAGTCAAGTAGACTACTTAGACTGCACAAATAAGTTTTATTTTTGGGATTTGTTAATTGTTTGTGTTTTAAATAAAAAAATATGTAAAATGCATTCCGTTAACAAGTTTTTTATTCAACCCTGTCAAAAATCATTGCTATAAAAATAAATACTATAAAAATATTTTACATAAGCTATAATATTTACATAAGCTATGCCCTATTGCATAGTACAATGTGTAAACAAATATTATTTTAACCTAGTCTACATTAGGTTCATGATACTAATCATAACTCCACATCATTTATAATCAAATAAAATAAAAATAAAGTTTATTTCCAACAAAATGTGAACAATATGAATCATGAACATCCACTTCCAGTGAAACAAAAATACAAAGAAACTTACTTACTATTGCACAAAAGTAAAATTGTTCTTATAAACTAGAAAAAATTCACAGAAGGCAATGTTCAATATAAAACATTGGGAAATAAGCCTACATGGGGTAGACTCAATCCCTATCAGTGGATTATTTTAATTTAGGAATGTTCAGTGGAATATTTATGAATGGAATTTGATTTGTGTATGGCTGAAGCTTATAATGACTCAATTTAGACAATTTTGAGGTATGCTAGTTTGATTTCTTGAGTTGTTAATATGTCACGCAGTTTCCTAAATGCAAAAACTAATTTACATAGTTTAGAGGTTAAATACCGTAATTTATATGATCAGACCACTTCATCAGATTGTCAAAAATTACCCCTAAATATTTATAATAACTTACTTTCTCAATGGGCTCACAGGGACAATGAATATTTTTAAAGTCTCCACTTTTTTTTAACATTTTACAAGTTATAGTCAGTATTATCTCTTAATGATATTGGTAAGAATTTGGTTTTTGAAACATTTAAGAATAAATCATTTTGGTCAAACCATTTTTTTTCATTAAAAGGAGATCACAATTAGCATCATCATCGATTTTTCCCCAACTTGTACCGCTTTCATGAATTGCAGTATAGTCAGCAAATAATAGTATATTTCATCACTAGGGCCTAAAGTGGCTCTTTTTGACCCGAGGTCAAGGTTTACGATCGAGGCGAAGCCGAGGTCGGAAAATAAGCGAGGAAAAGAAACTTTTTACCCGTGTGGTGAACTAAATTTTTCGTCATATTGCATAATTAATTAACAAACTAAGCTAGACAAAGAAATAGTAAATTGTATGCAAAGATAACCTCTAAAAAGACTTCCAGCTTGTTTTCAATTCTGCTAATGAAAACAAGCAGCTGTTAAGTAAGTGATTCAATAATTTCGTCTCTAAACGATTTGTGTTACAGTACATAAAGTCAATGATTATACCATCGATATGTCGAGCGATCGACAACAATAGGCTAACACCTTAACTAATAAATCAATCGGTAAATAATTTTGATCGATACGATTGCCACAATCGAAATTTACGACTGTTTACAACAGCTTATTTTACTCCCTAGAGAGTAAAAATGCTACTTTATACCCGCAACGCATGCATTATAAACGGCTGTTTTTGCTGCAGTATGACGAAAAAACAGTTTGCCTATCAGTGAATGTTTTGTGATTTCATTGACATAAATTAAGAAAAGAATAGGTTCAAGAGTGCTTCCTTGAATTATTCCATAGTTTGGATTTTACGTCACTGGAAATTCCGTTTATCACCACACTTAGCATTCTGTAACTTTGAAACCACTGATGAGTGGTACTCACTTGTTCTGAGCAAAGAAAATAAAGTAGGAAATACATACGATCGGGTTTTTACAGAATATCTTTATTCATACAATGTACAGAATCACAATATGTACAAACAAAATTAAACAAGTTGCTTCAGATTGAATTCAAAATGTGAGTTGTGAGATGTTTGCATTACAATAAAAATAGTGTCTAGTCATTTAATTGATGTACAAAATAAAGATACGAATTTGTCTTGCTATCTATTTCTTTATCAATTGTGACATTAGAATGTATTTTCTAACACAATGTAACGAAAGAACGGAAGCATTCATAATCCATCTGTATTCTGTATATCTCCGCTGAGATCGACCCTGACCAGCCTCAGATAAGCTGTTTCCCACAGCCTCAGAGTAAGATATAAAGCGCTTCACACATATCCACAGAGTAACAAGACCCCCGCGTGGACCACCTCACAGTCATCTCGCATTCCTCGTCCAAACCCGTTTTGGTTCAATTCTGGTGTTCCTTTGTAGGTGTTTAGTGTTTTGGTTTGTTTACGGTGTTCCTTCGTAGGGGTTTAGTGTTTTGGTTCACTTATAGCTTTCCTTGATTGCTGTTTAGTGTATGGTTCAGTTGTGAGGTTCCTTTGTATGTGTTTAGTGTTTTGGTTAGCTGTATTGTTAGGTGTTCCTTCGTAGGTGTGTAGTGTTTTGGTTCATTTAAAGCTTTCCTTGGTAGCTGTCGAGTGTTTGGTTCAGTTCTGGCATTCCTTGGTAGGTGTTTAGTTTTTTGGTTCAGTTCTGACGCTCCTTTGTAGGTGTTGAGTGTTTTTTTTCCAGTTCCGGGGTTCCTTGTTGGCTGTTTAGTTTTGTGGTGTAGTTATAGCTTTCCTAGGTAGATGTTTAGTGTTTTGGTTCAGTTCCGGGGTTCCCTGTTAAGGCCGGACGCACACAGATCAAGCATTTCACCTGAAGCAAGTGTTGCGAGGCAAAATGTTTCGCTGGGCACGAGCACCCCATGTATTTCAATGGGACGCCGCACACTGATCAAGCAAACGTTGCGAGGCGCCTCGCAACGCCTTGAAACATTTGAGCAGTTGCTCGACGAATGGATCCCATACAGCACGATGTTTGATGTTTCAAGGAGCAAAACGTTCTGCGCATGCGCCAAATCCCTTCTAGCTAGTAAAGCTTAGTGGCTTTCAAAATTCAATCGACCTTTTGTTGTTTATAAAATTACTCTTTGAAAAATGCATTTTAAAGTTTCATTACAACTTAAAAATTATATTTTTTGAATTTCCTACATTGTTGTTTAATTTTTCTTGCTACCACTTTGATAACCATACAGGTAGATAATTAAGAAACAACCCATGTTATTTAGTTCATTATTTATAACCATCACGAAATTATCAAATAATAATTTCTAACGATATCACGTTATTAAAAACCCTTCCAATAAAATAGTGTAGCAAGTATTCGACAATAATAATTGTAAAATTTCCCTGGATCTGATTTAATTTCTGAGAGCATTAATGTCTATCATCTGATTGTTTGAGTGAACCTTTCTTAGTCTAGCATTTGCAAAAACTGACATACAGCAATAGCTACGTTGACTTCCTCGTCACACATGTTAAAACAATACCGTAGAGTACCAGTACAAATAATATTTATTTTTGCTTGAAACCAAATGCTGCATCATGCTTGAACCTCTCGCACACTGGAGAAGCAAAGAAACAAAACTCTTAAAGCAAATCGTTGTGCAACATTTTGCTTCAGGTGAAATGCTGGATCAGTGTGCGTCCAGCCTAACTGTGTAGTGTTTTTGTTCGTTTCTTGTGTTCCTTTGTAGTTTTTTGTTCTTTTGGTGCAGTTCCGGGGTTCCTTGTTGGCTGTTGAGTTTTGTGGTTTAGTTATAGCTTTTCTAGGTAGCTGTTTAGTGTTTTGGTTCAGTTCCGGGGTTCCCTGTTAGCTGTTTAGTATTTTGGTTTGTTTCTTGTGTTCCTTTGTAGCTTTTTGTTGTTTTGGTTCAGTTCTTTGGTAACTGTTTAGTGTTTCGTTTCAGTGATGGTGTCCCTTGGTAGTTGTTATTGTTATTCTTAAGTTCTTATATTCTTCGTTAGCTATTTTGGTTTAGTTCTGATGTTCCTTGGTAGGTGTTTTGGTTCATTTATGCCGTTTCTTAGTAGCTTTTTGTCACACTCCTGGTGTTCCTTGGGAGTTGTTTTGGTTTAGTTCTGATGTTCCTTTTTTTGGTTCAATCCTCCTGTTCCATGGTCATGGTATCAGTTTTAGCGAATTTCCCTATAGGGAAGTAGCTATTACCGTAGGTGGCATGGTAAGACCTAGGCCCGGGACCGATTTACTTTTTCATTTTTATGTCCCCAGAGGCCAAAAACACCATTCGTTCAAATTTATATATATATATATATATATATATATATATATATATAATATATATATATATATATATATAGATTTATATATATATGTGTCCGTGAACACGATAACTTGAGTAATTTTTGTCCGATTTTGATGAAATTTGGTTTGAAGGTGTAAGGTGGGATAACCTTGAATGAGTTCGCGAACCAGCATGATTGGACCATAGGAACAGGGTTTTACGGGGGGTTTTATGGGGTAAAAATTGGTTTTTCTAATTTTTTACCCTCTAAACACAAAATTTCCCAATTTCTCTCCGGACCTTTTTAAAGAGCTTAAAAAAAAAAAATAATTCAGTATATCCAAGTGTTTTTGTACAATTATTGGTTACGGAGAAAATTCAAAAAGTGTTATTTTAAAATTTCCATGTTATTCTTATGGAGAATATTGTAAAATGTTGTAGTTTGCTTGTTTATGGATATATTTTAATCAAACTTGGTAAATTTATTTATTTCATACAAAGTTATTCATATTTTACCAAAAATACACTTTTTACCCTCCCTGTAGCACCAAGCCTAGGTACTCATAAAACCTAATGTTAATTAAATACATTCAATTAAAAATCAATTCAGGCAAATGGAAATTCGCTTAGTCGGCAGGTTTGCTGCGGCGGGGGTATTTATTATACCTTCCGTATTGGAAGTCAATGAGAAGTATGATTGCTTATAATTATCTTTATCGTCATGTCTCAGCGCTGGAAGATAAGCAAAGCAATTCATCGACGTCGCTTCGGAGTATTTTATACCAATTAATTTTATAACATACAAATTGATTTTGATTCACATGCTGTGTTAATAAAATCAAATACAACAATGAATCTTGGCTGGTACGTAACGTAACCGACCACGGGGGTAGATTTCCGGTAGTAGAATTCCGGGGGTAGATTTCCGGGGGTAAAATTCTGAGGTCAGTTCTATTGGGATTTTGAATAATTACAACTGTGTTGAATAAGTAAACCGTGAAATGTGGGTTGAA